CAGATCTTTGAGATACAATTTACAAGGACTTGGACGAAGGATTTTTTTTTTTTTTTTAAATTACAACTTTTTTTTTCCAAAATGCCACGAAATTTTTATCGAATTTTGCATTTTTATGTAAAAACCGCTGTCAAACATTTAATTTTCATTTTTTTCCGCCTTCGTCCAATTTCTAGTTTGAAGCCTTAACTAAAACATGGATTTTTTTTTTTTCACTTCAGATGATCCTGCTAGGAGTTCTGCTGTCAATGCGAATGCACCTTTTTTCCGAGGGCTCGCCGGGAATGACGTCACAATGGTGGAGTTTTTAATATATTTTTTCAAAAATTTCAGAAATTGTTTATTAAATATGCATAGACTCCAACCTTCAGCAAACCTTGTCAGTAGTCAACGCGCGAACGACATTTTTACAACTTTGAAAATGTGCGCGTAGCGTATGTTGTAATTAACCATTCATTAATTTTAAATTAATAATTAATTGTAATCAATTTTATACATTTAAAATCCATATACATATAAAACTGAATAATTAAAATATACCTTGTAAATTATATGCACATTTAATTAGAAATTTTCTTTTAACTCCTCAAGCATTCACTAATAAAAAGTACTTCAAATCACTACTAATCATAGAAAAAATCAGAAGCTATAAATCATATCTTTATTCTGGATATGATTTCTACAGGGAAATAAAATTTAAATAACCAAGAATGATACATAAAGTATTAAACAAAATACGCATAATTTATGAATGCAAAGATTTATATGTAGCATGCTTAGCAAGCTTAAGTTCTGATTTTGAGAATGTTTTTTTTATAACACAGTTCTTCATTTGCCTCATATTTATTTTTTCAATCAAAACTGCTTCAAGAGTTTTTAAGACCTAAATTTGGTCGAAATTCCGTCTGATTTTTTTTTAACAATAGAAAAAATTCTTTCGCAAGCTGCATTTGAATGAGGTATTAATAAGACAGCAAGCATTACAGAAGGCAATATTTTGTATTTAATACACCCATTCATATTTTTAATTTGGCAATTTCTCCCCATGCTATATATCAATACGCAAATCTACAATTTCTTTCAAATCATCTACTTGATACATGGAAAATTCAATTTACTACTTGATTAAGACATTTTTCATCAATAATGGATGGAAAAATATTTCATCAAGTAAAGAACAGATGAAAATTAAGACTTCAGTTCACAAGTTGATGTCAGCAACTTCAGCATGTTTTAGAAATGGATTCACTTCAGTGGAAATTTTATCAATTATATCTATGAACATGCAGTTACAAAAAAAGCTCGCAGAGACTTGAAAAATGATTTCACTTCCACTTTCATTTCAACTTGGCATTTTTTAAATATATTCTTTGTTTTCCGCACCAATCACTAAATTTTCATTTTCTTTTGTTTACTTACTTCTGAAATGGAATAGATGTTAGAGTAAACATTCTTCACTTTCCTTTAGAAATTACTGATGGTTTTACGAATCTAACAAATAAATTCATTAAAAGTTCAAAAAGTTCTCTTCTCAATTTATGTATATAAGGGAGCTTGTTGTTGCAAATTAATATTTACTGTTATAATAACAAAGGCAAAGTATTTTTCAAAAATAACAAGTACAATTTGGTGGTCGGTGACTGTAAAATTTTTTTAATGTTTTGCAATCTCTTTCCTTCATTCTCACTGTTATCTGTTTTATCTCCAAAAAAAAAATTATCACAGCATCCCACTGTTCCAAAATCCTTGTTATAGATTCTAAAAGAGACAACCATCTCGTACTGCAATATTTCAAAATTTTATGAGATTTTGCATTCTGTCCCAAAATTTGTTGAGCAACTTTGAAGCTATGCTTCCGTTTCGAACTTTTCTCCAAGTAAAAAAATATATATCTATTATCAACATTTCAATTTCTGAGCCAATTAATTTTTCAGTAGCTTTTTTTTGCAGCTATATGCAAGAGGTGGCACGGACAACCTCGGGTGATTATACTTGGTTGATGCATTTTGATAAATGATGCTACACCTTTAAACTTTCCAATCATATTACTAGCATTATCTGAAGAAAATGATAAGCAATTTTTCCATTCTAAACCTTTGTTTTTTTAAAGTTTTCATTTATACAATTAAAAATACCTTCTCCTGTATTATTCGTGCATTCTAAAATAGAAATCAATGAAGTAATTATCACTCCCTTTTCTTTACTGTAGTATGTTATAACCAATGGGTACAGTTTGTTATCATTGTTATCATTACTTCCATCAGTACTTAGAGAAAATGATGTACTGCACACTGATTTTATAATATCAGCAACAGTATTTTCTGCAAGCGTTTTCACAATAGCAGCAGTTTTGGTATGACCGCAGCTAAATTTTTTGGTATTGCAGAATCCAGAAACATTGCTTTGAAAAGCTCTTTGGAATGATCCGAAACAGAAAGCGGTAGATTATGTTCAATTAAAAAACGAACAAAATAGCATTCGGCTTTTATAGGATCTGTTTCATCATCTTTCATTAAGAAATTTGTTATTCTTTAGATTTTTACGGTGCCAAGTTTATATTGCTTTTGAGAAAACACATGCCGTTTACAGTCATCTTTTCCGCCATGAGCAACTGAGAAGTCTTTGTTGCATACCTGCAGTGTGCGTGATTCACAGAAATTTCGGACGCTTTAATGCATGGAAATTCTGAAGAATATGAATCTTTAAACTTCTGCTTTGATAATTTTGGCTTCTTCGTTCGAGGCAGCATTATGATTAAAAATCTTTCACCTGATTCACAGTTCACAAGACACACGCTAAGCTCTCGCCGTAAACTACACAATGCAGCTGAATGCAGCCTAAACACGCATCAGCGAGGAACCTGGGAGACAGACAATTGGGTGGAACTATTGATAAGTCGTTAACGGTTGGAATTACTGATCTACAATTGGCTAATTCTTCAAAACTAGGAACGCACTCAACACGTGATATATGATAACACGAGTATTCAGCCAATCATCGGATGAATTAGTTGGTTCCGTTTTGCGTACTGGTTCTCCTGCTCTTGTTTCTGTAAAATCCGTAGTTTTTTCCATACTTTTTGTAGCTCATAGTTTTTCATGAATTTTCCGTAGAAACTACGGAGAATCCGTAGTAGTTGGAGTCTATGAATATGTACCTTTAAGATAATAAAAAATTGAATAAAATATTTCATTTATTATATGAAAAAAATCCTTGAAAATACGCCACTTTTACTCAGATGAAACCCATGTAACCCCTTAATTTACTTATAAAATTCCTTTATATTCAAATCCTGTCTCACTATTTTTTAAATGGATAAATTTGGACCTGCAGCTCTCGATCGTTCATAAAAGCTATCATGTGGCTCCCATAGTCTTGAAGTTTGACTGTCCCTGCCATATAATGTTAAGGGAAGATTAAATATACTTCCCCAATTCTTGATATTAATGATATAAAAAAATTATGGTGTACTTTGAAAACGTTAGGATGAATAAATAAGACGGAGTAAGCTTGAACATCTAACTGCACAAAATAAATTTATACAATGAAGAAAATTTTTCAAAATATTACTTAATTATTAATTTGATCCAGCAATTGTAAAGCCTGTGCACCAATATTCTTTATTGACATAAAATGTTATTTCATATCCTGTAAAACATTCAAAATCATCACAGTCTTGTTTAATTTTGCCACACTATGTGCTTTTATGGCACAGATATAAAAAAATTTACTGTATGTAAACAAATACCGTATGAACTTACAGTAAAAGACTATAATGCTTAAGGTCATAGCTTCATTCATAAAGACACATTATTAAAAGATCAAAATCACACGAAAAAATAAGAATTACTGAAGATAAATTACCACATATGCACCTAAAGGTAAATTCATCTACAATGATATTTCTTACGAAACACGCAACGGAATTATTCACAATAATCAAAATTTAATGGAAGGCTAGAGAGATTTTTAAAACATTATAATAAACTATAATTTGTAGTACAGTAAAAAAGCTGGACTATTTGGAAAGCTCAGGAAATACTGAATTCCAGATAACTGAGTGTATAAAAATTGCAATTCGTGGTAGAAAAGCCAAATGAATGGAAGAAAAAGCCAAAGTAAAACATCATATTCGATTATAAAATTCCATCAACCATGAAAATTAGCAGTGATCATGGCAAACTTGCACCATTACTTCAACAGAAGTTTGAAGGAACAGATTACTCTTTATTTAATCGATGAACATACATAAAAAACTTAAATTGCTTGTTAAAATTTCTGCATGTTGCACAGCCACCGTTTATCCATTTTCACATTAAGTCGCACTTTTCCTGACACTAGAACCCTGTAAATTTGAAATATTCTAGCACATGCTGTTCAACTAGGTCATGCTGTTTGAAATATTCTGAACACAACTCCTGAATTTTTTTACAAAAATTAGGCTGACTTCATCAGGAGAATGAAGTTTACATAAAGCCCAAATATTACATCAGTCATATCCATTATTGGCATTAAATCACACTGTTTGGCAAGATTTTCTTTGATTCAAATTGTAGTACTATTCATACTTTATAACTGAGTTACAAATCAATTATTTGCTTAATGTTAAATTAATAAAAGTTTTTAAAATTTGAAAATATTCTGGTTACTTGAATGTCAGGTAGTCAGGCTTTATTTTAATGAATACATTAAAAAAACACTGTAAAAATATAATGTAAATAGTTTACAGATTTCTGAAACTTCTAAACCAAAAAATATTAAAAAATTGAATTTAAAAAATATTTAAACTTTTTACTGGAAAGACATAAATGGACATGACACAGAACAGTACCAAGACCTTTCAATACATAAAAAAAATAAAATAAAAAAGCTCATAGTGTAGCTATAAATTTAAATATTTTAATAAAATTACATCATATTGCAAGATGATAAAAGACTGCAAATGAGGCAAAAGATTACAAAAGATATTTCTGATTATTAACACTCATGATGAATATTACCTGATATACTGCAAAGGGTGACTTTGATGAATAACAATTTCACATGTAGGACAACTGTTGTTATCTTCAAGATGTTTTACCAGGCAACTTTTGCAAACTGTAAGTAAACAATTAAATGCAATAAATAAGATAAATGTCGTTTCTCAATTCTCTATGCATACTCTCTATTTTCATCAGTGAAGATTGCAAAGGAGTCTGCTGTACCCTACAGAAAATTAATTATCCAGACATACCATGAGAGACAAATTTGAGCAATTTCAAACATGTTAATCTGGAGGGAACCAAACACACACAGAAAGCCTGGAAACATTTGTGAAAAGCATCATTACAAGGGTGGTGGAATTATGGTACAGGTGAGCATTGTTCTGTACGGTTGCACTGACTAACATACTTTTACCAATGCAGCTATTGCGGCAGCAGCGCCAAACAGGAGATACAAACTCAAAAACTCTAGAGAAAACTGCTAATTGGCAAAAAACAGTAAACCTGTATGGAAACCTTACAGGCTGACGGTGAGAGAGTTTTTCTCCGACAGTCTGTGTTACTATTGTGCTTCACTGGGATAAGTAAACTTTGATACCGGCATTTGTGTTGAGTTCCTGGTCTGTCTTAAAGACAGAGCACATAGTGGGATATTATAATGTATCCCACTATGTTACATTCCCTTATTAAATTTCATTATTAATTGCAAATGTATATCTCAATTAAGATTGCTTTTTTAGTTAATGTTATCAATATGTAGGCATGTGTTACTCACACATACCTCACTATGAATGATGAAATACACTGGTTTCCAAAGATAAGGGAAAATCACAAAAATGGCGATAACTCATTCAAATATAAACCAATCTGTATGAAATTTGAATTTGTTGTCAAATAAGAATTGTCAAGTAAAACTTCAGTATACAAATTACTGGTGCTGCAATGGAAATACATCATCTGCAAGGAGCATAAAACTCCATGTTTCACAGCAAGCCTGCAAATTTTGCTGTGATACTGAGATAAGACATCTGGGATAGCCAATTTGTAACAATGACCTCCAGGCATCACTTGCCCAAAGAACTGCAATGGAGAGCTACTAGCAGACTAGAGGCAGGACAAAGTCAGACAGAAGTAGCCAGATGGCTAAATGCGAGTTCTTCTGTGGTTCGCATACTTTGGCAACAATTTCGAACCACAGATTCGGTATCCAGGAGGTTCAGCCAAGGACAGCCAACTGATATGATGAGAGCTAATGACTGATATTTGTTGTTATGTGCACGAAGGAATGACCTCAACGCCAACTCAACTCAGATCCTCCCTTACTGCAGCCACTAGAAGGTTGGTGTCAATGCGAACCATATGTAGAAAGCTTCATGAAAAAAGTCTGTACGTGACGCCACAGCCATTTACATGCCTTTCACATCATAGAAGGGAACAGGCACGTCAACAGGTCCACTGGATGGCTGATCAATGGTGGGCTGCTCTCTTTACAGATGAGTGCACATTTAGCCTCCAAAGTGATAGTATCTGTTATTTGACTAGGAAGAATTCGGAACCCAATATCATCCATCAAACATCCACTAAAGAGATGCATACAGAAAGAGCAGTGTCTATGTCTGGGGTGATATCTCAATGGGTGGACGCTAAAACCTGCATATCTTTCTGCATAGAACTATGAATGCTCAGGCCTATAGAGGTGACATCCTTGATGCTTATGTGCGCCCTTATGCTGGGGCAATTGGTGATGAATTCCTGCTAGAGGACAACAATGCTAGAACATACAGGGCTTGCAATGTGGATGATTATCCTAAGTACAAAACAATTCAGTGTAAAGAACGTCCAGCTTGATCACTGAACCTGAATACTATCAAGCATGTTTGAGATACTCTAGGAAGACGTATAAGTGCTCTCAATCCTCCTATTTAGACCCCTGCCACGCTTGCAACTGCTTCGCAAGAGCAATGGCTCTCACTTTCTACAGAACTGGACTGCATAATTGATAGCATCACTGTACGTGTCATATTGCTTCTAGGTCTAACATACTCCAAACTGAAGGAAATTTTCCTATACCAAACCAACACATCCAATTGTTTCCTTTTATACACATGCTAATCTTTACAACACCATAATTGTCTGGTAATTTCTTTTCATGTTATTTTATACCTACTACGTGTTGTATAGTATGGGTCAGTTTCATTAAATTCCACATGCGACTTTTTGAGTAAAAATCATTTTTGTGGTTTTTCCTTTATAAATGATAATTAGTGTACACTGAAAGATCAGGTTCTTGATTTTCGTTATCATGGTGTTTAAGGATGCAATTAGTACTAACTTCCTCCTAACAGATGATGATGTTCATCTCCATCGCACTGCCCTAGTGACTAAATGTCTTGAGATCAAAGAAATCCAGTGCATGGATTGGTCTGCATAAGCTCCAGATTAATATTTATTAGAATGTGTGACATGCACTAGGATTCTGACTTGTATCACTGGCAGCCTCCACCTAGTACTATCCAGAAGCTTCAAAGTACTATTCATCATGATTATACATACATACATACATACATACATACATATATATATATATATTTGCAGAATTTCTGAATAATCCAATACACAGGATGGAAAATCTCTGTAAAGCTTGCATTTCTAATAGGGATGACCACACTCTTTTGCAGAAATAAGCAATTCTGCATTCTGAAGTCAAAATAAAGATCTGGTGGAAATTCTATATTCTAAGCTGCAATATTCAAGTTAATAAGTTTTCGTAGTTCCTTTTATTTTTCCTGCCAGTATTTATTAACCCTCCAACCATCAAAACCATATATTTTACATTTAACAAATTTTGCCTTAACATTTTCAAAGGATGCATATGTGTGCGCATTTTCAAATATTCACTAATCATAACATTTTGTGAGAAAATGTTTCCATGTACTTTGAGGGATTTAAATTAAGAAAATATGTCTTTTCTTATGAAGGTTACAGAAGCTATAAGGAGGGTTAATATGTAAGTGCATTTTAAATTGAAGTTTAGAAATTTTATTCATGCATAACAAAATTTCCCCAGAAATAAAATCAAATGTTATAAAGCAGTTCAACAGCAAATATATATCATAAAAATTCTATTAACATGAAGAACAACAATTAAAAGTCAAAGCAAACTGAACAATACAGTAACTACAGTATGCAAAAAATATTCCAGCAAATTAACATTAAAGAAATGTTAATATCAATACTCACAGGTATGCAGGCATTCAATTACAGTTGTTGCATCAATCAAGTATCCTTTGCAAATTTTGCATGTTATGTGTGGATTGAGAGTTTTAAGGCGTATCCGCCTTTCCATCTGAAAAGTTTAATATATTTTAATGCTCTCTTCAGAAATAAGTACACCACTGTGTTAAATGAGAAACACTACATAAATATTTTTAAAAATAACTAGAATGAATAGGACATTATTGATAAAGATATTGGCATCTGTTCTATAGGAAGAAAATTATCTTATAAAAATGCAAGAAAATGTTAGGAATGATTTGATATATTTTGCTAACAGTGTTTCCCTAACATGGGGGGGGGGGGCAATTCGAAAATGGACTCGTCCAGAGTTTAAGGGACGTTCAAATTTCCAAATTTTCTTTAAAAAGTCGAATTTTTTAAAAATTTCCTTTTTTATTCCCCAAAATAAAGAATAATGTAAGTGATGTATACTTAAAAAAGTCTTTAAATTCCGCATTTCATATATTTTATAAAGAATTTTTGCTGTAGACATGGACTTTCAAATGCTTAGATATTTCTTTTTTAAAACCTATCATTCAGTTTCCTTTTTTGAATATTAAAAATTATGTATATGCTAGGGAAGCGTAAGAATTATAGAGAGGATTAGGTGGGCCATAGCACAATGAAGGATGGGAAGCACTGGTTTAACCTGTTGGGAGAGATGTTAATTCAGAATAAAGATCCTTATTTATTGACCATATTTGTATTTAAAGCATTTGCAAAGATAATATGAATATCTTTAAACAAAATGGTATCAAAAGTACTTTCAGTGAGTTAGTTTACTAATCACAATATATATATTATATTTAATTAAAGGACAATATGAATATCTATGAGATGTAGTAGGAAAAATAATGAAAACTATGTACGTAAATAGTTTAATTGCAAAAAATCTTTCAACAAAACCAGATCAGCAACCATAATCTTCAGAGGTAACTTACACACCAATAAAATTACAGTTTAAAATATTCCAATAACTTATGGAAGAGAAACACACCAATATCAAATACAAATTTATGTAAAAATGAACCTCGAATTCACTTCAGTTTTATAAATGATCTCTTACCACCTTAACCCTTTCACCGTCCTCTCCTGTCTGCGAAAATTTCTCTCCAACGGCCATCTGTTTTTCACAGTGGTGTAATGTTGTTTTCTATGTACATCATAACTTTCTATACATAACTTTCGTAGTGGATGAATGTCAATGAATATTAAGTAAAATTATAAGGAAATAAAGCATAATGGAAAAATAATATCTCTGCTTATTTCTAACAGCAGGATAATTTGATAACATCTTATCCAGGCGGTCCACTCCTTCCATTTTGTTGTTGTAATCTTTTACAATTATTATTATTATTATTATTTTTACAGTTCTTTTCCGTGTTCCAACATCAATCATTGAGTTATTATGGACTGTACTCATGAAACATATATCCTTCTTGTCTTTCCAATTCTCAACCTCATTTTTCCTCTTTTTTCTGCTGAGTAGACGAAGCCATCTCTCACTGTCTTGTATCTTATGTAAAATGGTGTGAATATTCATAAAACCCAGGGTAAACTCAATTAGACACAGAATGCCTGATTAGTGCTTCCCTTTAGGAGGCATTAGAACAAACAAAAATAAAAACTCAAACAAGTAACCATTTAGAAAGCGTTTTTAAACGTTTAAAATATAGAAGAATGCTTCTAGCGCGTTACGGCCGCTCTGCGGAAGTTTCACTTGAACACGCTAGATGCGTTACGGACGACGAAGAGGTTAAAGAGCAAAAACACTCTGACAAATAAGCCAAAAATATAGAATTTAAATAGAGAGGCAAAATAAAATAAATAAATACAAGGAAAGATTATTTAAAATTGGATTGGAATCCATATCATTAAAAAAAGTTGCAGATTTTGGCAATTATAGAAGACATTAAGGAAACCTAAATTACCAAAATAAGGCTTCTGGGTAATTTTACCACAACTAAAGTTTAAAAATGATTATGATAACATTTAGCTATGGACATTTAACTCACATTCGATGTGAAGAATATTTAGGTCATTGATAATTCTGGCTTCGTCCTTGTCTACTGCAGAGTAGAAATTATCTTTAATACATTTAACTGACATAAAAGTCACATGCAATAAAGTACTGCATTGCATTACATCATTATTCAAGAAATTTAACTATATGCTTATACTAATACCACCAATCTTGAAATTAATTAAGAAAGAAAAATTATGCTATGAAAACAGACACATAAGGAAAATGCAGTACTTCCATTAAGGTTAAGAAAGTGGGAAGTAATACACAATATCCTAGATGTTAATAATAAGAATTTACAGAATTAAAAAAGATATATTAGTGACTCTCAAAAAATAAGTGCACCAACAAAAATAGTAAACCATTAATAAAATATATTGCTGGCCATTAAAACTGGTATACCAGGAAGGAAAGCAAATATAAGAATTTTATTTCCAGTACATATCAGAGAAAGACATGATTTAAATTTGCAGATGTACAAAGTGTGCAGAATTCAGTTAACAGAACTGCCACCTCTGGCAGCAACGATGGTTGTCTTTAATCTGGGCATTGAGTCAATGAAGCTTGGATGATAGATATAGATACTTCATTCTATGTGGCTTAAAATCTATATTCTTATAAATCAAAGTGGTGACATACCAGTCCCTTAGCAAACCATAACCAGATATTCCCAATAGGTCAAAGATCTAGAAAACGTGCTAACTGGGCACATGGAATAGCACACACAGCACCACAACTTCGTCTATGGATTTACATGTTTTGGTCCATCGCAGTAGTATTCTAGCACAATATCCAATATCCACCACAGAGCATACTATGCCTTGCCTCGGGATCCAGCTCAATAAGGAATTCACTACACAATGTGCAGTGTTCTCACCTTTCTCAGTGTTGTCACTCAATCAGGAGAATGAAATTCTCTGACTTTTCCAGGTTTTTCAGGTGTGTTTTAAGAAAATTAAAGTCTATCCGCATAGTGCATGTTGGCTATGCTACAGGTAAATTAATTATGATACAACTTGAAAACACAAAATTTGCCAATTAATATACAACTTGTATATTTACATATATATATAAACTTCCAAGCATTGCTATTATGATTATAACAAGAGTTGTTTTCCTCAATAACTTTCATTTACAAAAGAAAATTAAATATTTACAATACCTTCCATCTAAGTAATAAACAAAATTAGAAATGAAATTCGTTGATTTTTCAATGCAATATATGAACTTTTAAACATTGGTTTTTCTCCAACATTAATTGTGATAAAATTGCAATGAATGATAGCTTTATTGTTTTAAAAAGTATTATAAATTCTGGAATAGAAGTTGTTCACAAAATGACAATGGGGGACCAGTTATATCTATCCTATTAAAAAATACATAACTGCTAAACACTATTACCATACTATTACAACAATTGCTTAGCTCAGAAAGGTCAAAAAAGCTTTTAAAAGCTATAAAAGTCAAAAAGTCAACAAACTTTTGATGAGAAATTTTTAATATAAGCACACATTAAATACAATTTTAACACAAATTAAATAAGCAAGCATAACACAAATTAAATGCAATTTTTTATTAGAATTCAACAGGGGGGGAGAGAAGATATTTAGTATTAAACAAAACATTAATAGGAAAAAATACTAATGAAAAATCAGCACAAAACTAGATTTCTGGCTTGATGTCTGTAATCCGTAAGTCAACTGAAGAAACATCTCTACTCAATTTTTTTTTTACTCCAAAATTTTAATCTGTGCTTGTGCTTTCCTTTTGTCCAAAAATTTTTTTTAATGTTTACCATCTCACAGCTTTTTATCTTCAAGTGCTTGATGACATGCATCACAAACAGATCTGGCATATCATAATATATTCAGGAAGTTACTGGAAACTTTTCACAGTGCCAGCTGCTCGAATGACACTGACATGATACATAATTTGCCAAGAAAGTGATCACTTCCAACATTGGCATGAAAATCGCTTTTTTGGGGGATCGTCACATGAAATTCCCCAACTTTTCAAAATTCTGACAAAAATATTTAAATTATCTTGACTTGTTTGATCGATTTTCGATTTCCCCAACTTTCTAGTTAGAGTGGTAGCCCTGCTTTCTCCTACTGGATGGCCTCTCCATGTTGCCGGTCTCCATCACACATTATGTGTGTCATTATATACATTTCTAATTATTTTATTTTGAAATACCAACTAATATTTTTATAATGCATAAAAAAATATCAGTCAAAGGCATTATCAAATGTATAGACACCAAGGCTATATTACTTGCCTCGAGATCCAGCTCAGCAAGGAATTCACTACATTTATGTCTATAAACACCAAGGCACTATAAAAAATATCAGTCAAAGGCATTATCAAATGTAAGGCATCTATTTATAGACACCAAGGCATTATAAAAAATATCAGTTAAAGGCATTATCAAATGCAAGATGTCTATTTAGAGACAGCAAGTCTATAAATTGACACTTTACATTGTGTCTATTTATAGACACCAATGCATTTATTATGGTGTCTATTTATAGACACTAAGGTATTATAAAAAATATCAGTCAAAGGCATTATCAAATGTAAGGTGTCTATTTATAGACACCAATGTATTTATTATGGCGTCTATTTATAGACACCAAGGTATTATAAAAAATATCAGTCAAAGGCATTATCAAATGTAAGGTGTCTATTGATAGACACCAAGTCTATCAAGTCACCAAGTCTTGCTTACATTGTAGACACCAAGGCATTATAAAAATATCAATCAAAGGCATTATCAAATGTATAGGCAAGTAATATAGACACCAAGGCTATGTTACTTGCCTTGGGATCCAGCTCAGAAAGGAATTCACTACACAATATGTAGTATTCTCACCTTTCTCCTACTAGACGGCCTCTTCATGTTGCTGGTCTCCATCATGCATTGTGTGTATCATTATATACAATTCTAATTATTTTATTTTGAAATACCAAATGATATTTTAATGTCTATTCATATTTTGTCATTCATATGCACATTTTTTATTGCTAACCAGTGTACTGGGACAACC